CATCCTTGAAGAGTCTGGTTTGTCCAAGTTCATTTTACTTACTTCATCTTACGGAAACTAAGCTAGTACAGCGTCCTTTCTTCTCAATATGCTTTTATACTAGAGAGGTTTTTTTTTGTGGTTTTTATTGATCTTATGGGGTGGGGGGCTTATATAGCTTTAGGTGTTATATTAACTACTGGCCAGTCAGAGGCATTAAAAGACCAGTTGCATCCTTATAGGGACTCTACTAGATGTTCTAAACCAGTGTTTCTCAGCCTTGGGAACATTAAGGTGTGTGGACTTCAACTCCCAGAATTCCCCAGCCAACTTCCTTATCCAAATCATTGATAAAAATAATCAACTGGGCACTGACTTGATACTTCCTTCCACACTGAAGCTATCTGGTTTAGCAAGTACTTTCCCTAAAATGGGTGGTATAAAAACATGACACTAAGACAGATGCAGAGATATTGGGAGAATTGTACCTCTAGGGGAAAAAAATGTGATGTACAGTGGCTCTTACATTACATGAAATATTGGTTTAGCAAAGTGCTTGTCTCTCCAACTTTGCATAGTAAGAGAAGAGAAGGCCCCTTTGACGCTATCCAGAATTCATAGCTGGATACTTAAAACCAGTGTTTCTCAACATCAGCAACTTTAAGACATGCGGACTTCAATTCCCAGAATTCCCCAGCCAGCCAGAATTCTGGGAGTTGAAATCCACATGTCTTAAAGTTGCCAAGGTTGAGAAACACTGCTTAAAACATTATATTCATTGTATAGTGCAATAGTGTCGTATTACCGTTAAAAATCTTACACTTCATGGCTTCTCCATAAAATGAATTCTTGCTTCCTATACAATATTCTTCACTGAACTTTGCATCAAGGGGCCCTTTACCTCTGTCTTTGGGACTGAATGGACGCAAACCGTGTGTTTCGAAGGAGGGACAGGAAAAAGAATAAACCTCATAAATGTCTTTCCTGGGATCTGAAGCCCCTCTGTAACTTTGATCTATAATGTAAGAATATGTCAGGCGCAGTAAAGTAGTTTTATGGGCTGTAAAGAAGAGAAGCTGAGAAACTTCATGGATAATTGATTTAAAGGTTCTCCAGAAGGTGTAAGATCAAAGAACAGCTTAAGGTGTTTATGCTGCCCTGGAGATCAGTCAGCCCAGTCCTGCAAGGAGGCTGATCTTGGACAATTAATTAACAGGAGACACTTTCCCCAAATCGTTCTTTCTCCAGACACACTTTTTCTTGTATTACTGGTGTACCACAGTTTGGGAATTGTTAGCTCGAACTTCATCACTGTAGAAGGTACTAACTGTATTTCAAGTCAGTTGCTGAGTTCACGTAGCGCACATGAAGCCAGAATGATTGGACTGTTTTTCAGCTGCAGTTCGGGGTAGTGTGTGGACCCAGCCAATTATCAACATCCTACACTGAATACAAGCCATGGTTTAACATGATAGCCTAAGACACTGACCGATAGAAGGGAACAGTGGGAGATGAGGCCACAGCCAGTTAAAGGACGATGCAAGTAGAGATGCTTTGTACCACCCATGAGGACAAGCCAGATTTCTCCATATTTCTCTTTGGAAGGAAGGTAGAGCTTTTGTGTTTTAGCATTCATGATATTTTAGACATAGTGCAGTTTTTTAGTGTTTCTCATCTCCAAATGACAGGAAACCGCCCCATCGTTTGTCTGGCAATAGAACTGTTGACATTGGATGGCATGGATTAACTTTCTAATCTCCTTCTTCGCTAGGAGAAGAAACTATCGCCCTATACTGGTCTGGCCTTTGGTCTTCTCCCCTGTTTAATGTCCACTCTGGGACCAGGTCGCTGCCCTAACTTCTGAGTTTCCAAAACAGCTGTAGATTGATCAGTTCCACCAGGGTTAATCAGACGTGTTTCTGGAAAGGGCAGCTTCTGAGCTCTGGATTTTCTGGGGTGCCAGGAAGGTGAGCGTGGCTGGTTGGCAAGGACCTCTCATCCCTCAAAGAACTTGGCTGGGTTAGGTTTTGGCTGGTTAGCAGTTCATCCTTCAGAAAGGCAGAACAGGATGGCACCAGGAGATACGATGCCACAGAGAGAGAGGCATCTTTAACTTAAGACTTTATTTTTAGAGCAGCAAAAGTTTGGGGCAGTGCTGTAACACCAGTTTACTCATTCTCAGAGATGTAAATAGGACCAGCATCAATGGGTGCTATTCCTATCTGTCAGTAGTACTTTTTTGATGGTTTAAAGTCATTTCCTCCTCTCCTCCTGCCCTAATACTCAGATGGCTCAATTCAGTGCCCATTACACAGGAGTCCTAGAAGGAAGCCTGGCAGGCAGCCCACTCAGGCTAAAGTTTTGCCCATGCAGCAAAGCAGCTGCTGAAACTTGAAACAAGCTTTACTATATTACTATATACTATTTTCCTTTGATGCTGGCACACGCTCCTAGTTAAGTAAATTCCCTGGTCATTTGGACGAGTTTTATTTACAATTTTTACTTTCAGAGATAT